ACTAGATGAGAAAAGCTGAAACTATAAAGTTACCCACGGAGCCAGCTGTTTCTAAGGAAATAGGGCAATTTGCTGGCACCCGAATGTGGCGGAGAGAAAGAGGAACACAGATTTCCAGGGTTAGACGGGGACCAGTATGAAATCTGAAGGCTCTTCAGAAGCCTGAAAGCTTCCCACTATAGCGATTGCTGCGATCCTTTCGTGATGATTACCGGCCTTAAAAATTTCGAGTAAGTGCTAACAGTAAGTGAACTGAAGATATGACTATCCTCTACGACAGGTTGTGTACAACTTTAGTGAAGGTACAAGTTCGATCCTTCTCCGTTTTAAAGTATTCATAAGGCTGCTTTCATACTTCGCGCCGGTGCGGTCGGTGCGGTCGGTGCAGTCAGGTGCCGACGGCGCCGACCGCACCGGCGCGAAGTATGAAAGCAGCCTAAACCCAGAACCATACCATTGTGCGAGAAACAGTAAGTGGTGACTGGTCTGCGGAAGGTCTACTATCATTTTTTGTATCAAAGTTTTCGGCTAACTTAGGGCCATTTAGTATGTAAGTTTATGAGTGTATCGGGTGGGTGGCGTGGCTTCGACGATTTTGATGGTACAGGCCGCTTTTGAAGGAGATAAAGGTACTTCGAGGCTCGTGGTCGTCAGAGATTGTCCGCGTAACCAATAGAAAGTTTTTGACCAGGATCTTGAGGTCTTATTGGCTATTTAACCCTCCATCCGAAGACGTTCCTCCCGGTTGCCTCCAAATTCTGCCTACATAGAAGTTTCTCAAATGATCACGAAATTTGTCAAGGAAAACTTCCACATACAAGGCGGCTGTGGCCAATGCCAAGATCGGTGTGGGTTATAGGTTACCTGAACTGGTATAGGAGTATATTTACATGTATAGAGTCAGTCTGTCCATTAAATATGATTATTACAGTGTAACAGAAGGAGTGTTGCGAAAAGGCGTCGAGAGCCTTGAAGCGGTAGAACGGCAGCGCTTGGCGCATTGCCAAACCGCGTTGGGACGCTACCAGCGGAAAATCGAACAACTCGGACCAAATTTGCAACAGGTTAGCCGAACCAAATTGAAGTAACAGTCGTTTTTTACCACCCGAGTGCCACTTGAAGCCGAGCGCGGGTTTGCAGAGCGTGCCCCACAGATGTTAAGCTTGGAGGGTTGGGGTGGTATGTTGTTGGCGAGCCAAGGGGATTCTTGGAGATGGGCATTGCTACAGGATACCCACTAACTACTGAATAAGCTTGCTGTAGCAATTTTTATCAGGATTTTTTTATTCAAAGATAGTTCAGATGTTCGATCGGCACACGAACAACCTTGATATTAGGGCCGTACAGGCCACGGCGCAGACTAGATGACGCGGATTCAAACCGTCCAACGGCCGCTGTGAACCATATCGTGCTCACGGATGTTTATGTGAGTCCATAGTTATAATGTTATTCTTGGGGGAGGCGTGACAAAACAGCAAAAGGCGCCGTTGGTGGGAGTCTTACGAAGGCTGGGTTGATGGTTCGATACCCCGCAGGTCGAAGGTAGTCTTACGGGTGTTTCTGAATTTTTCAAGCTCATACCCAGGCATATGTCCAATCGACAAGTCCCTCTTTAACACAGTGCGCTTTTATCAATAGTAAGCCCTGGCTTCTTGCCGTATTGAAGGATTGGACGAACTCCGCCCAATAGTCCATCGAGGAATGTCCCCTAAAGAGAAGCTTCTCATCATCTGCACTCATCCAATCAGTCGTCTGTGACATTTACCTCAAAGTGCGCCGTGCATGGCGTATACTTGAAAAAGGATTCAGTCAAACGGCTCATCTTACATAGCGAACAACCCGTTTTATTCTATTTACATTCATAGAAATTTCAATTCTCTTAATGTCCGATTGACTCGTCGTTCCAATTCGTCAGCGAATCGATCGATACTGTGATCCAATACCGTATCCGTTTGCAGTTCGTCGCACTCCTTTCCGAGCTTCGATCGGGCAAGTGGCTTTGTAGTGGAGTTTAATCCCAAGCCTTTCCGGCACGTAAATTGTGCCGGTCACATTTGGCGTAAGTCGATGTAAAGCGAAATGGTTGAAGACGGTGGCGACATTAGCCGTACTAAAAAAACTGATTTTTGGTATACTGTATTCACAACATTGTCGGCAATGCACTTCACCTTTCATGCTTCTTCCCGTCATTGCGAACGTCGCTCGTTTTCCCGTGATCTATATGAGTTTCGCGCATGAGATATAGAGATGTTCTGGGACTGACTGGTTTACCAACTTGGCTGGGAATTTGAAAACATTCGAGAATGATAACGAAGTGATACGATCAGTGGGTGTATCCTGTTCGATAGTTTTGAGCAGATCAAAATAATTGTTGTGTTCAATAGGAACTATCAACTTCATAATGTATGCTCCAGCAATCAGATATGTAGCTGGTTTGATATTGCCTTGAAACCATGTGAGACTTAAAGGTGTCCCACAAGTCGCGCATGGTTGCCGATTGAAACTGAAATCAGGGGTAAGAGCCTAGGTGATGCGTCAACGGCATAGCGAGGAAGCCAAAAAAAACACCCAAACAAGGCCTCTCATAACGTGCATTTTTCAGACGGTCCCATCCTTAGGTCCAAGGCCACGGGTTGATTTCGTCGGGCAAGCCAAGAAATCTTAGTGCTGTCCCTCTGACTCTCTGCTGTACGGGGGCAGGCGCAGACGAAAGTAAAGAAGTCGCCTTATTCAGTTTACGCGAACATTTGGGGGCGGCGTCCCCCGGCGGCATATGGCGTCAAACAGTTGCGCTGTCAAGTATATATTTCTTTGTGGCGGCTCTTTTTTTTCGAATACGCTGCAATATGTGCTCCCCACAAGTGGTCAATTTCCTTTTTTACCAGGCACCTACGTATCCATTTCTTTTGTTTATTTACTTTATTAAACCCTTAATTTGTTTATTTCCAGTGCACAATATTTTTGTCTGATTAATTGCCATTAAAAAACCACGAGTTGCGTTAATGAAGCAAACACAGCTCTTCCGAAGAGAACTGAGCGGACAAAACTTCACGTTGATGACGTCATTTGATGAAAAATCTCGTCCAGCGCATTTTTCAACGGACAAAAAAGGGTCCCATTTTGTGGTTTAAGGCCTTCTCCCATGGTTTTTTCTTCACTACTGCACCGTTTTCCACCTTAACTTTCATTTTGAAAAGCGGCTATTTTATCGTACCATGTGCCTTTAATTTGCTTTGATATTGATTGATCACGATTTGTGGGACACCTGACATACCTGTAGAGGCAGTCGTTGTATGGTATCAATTCGTGCCGGCGCTTCTGTTGACGATTTCTCGCAATGTATTGACTGCGCACCAAAGGCAGATTTGGCGAGTGACCGGGTAAGGTGAGAGGGATCTGAAAATCAATAATTGATTAGTTCGCAGAATGATCGATAGCTACCTTATTGATTCCTGGTGGCTGAGCTTATCAAGGTCGCGATAACCGAGACCAATCCTAGTCATTTGAACGCTTTTTGATCAATCATTTTGATGGTTATGTCAGTACATAGCAGTCAATATCCAGGTGATTATCTGATAATTATATTGATCGATCGAACCTGTTCGAGTTTTCCCAGCTTCCCGTAATGATCCAACACTTTCTTGACTCTTTTAGGGACGGTATACACATATGTGGTTACTGTAGATACACCAAGAAGATATTGAGCTTCGAGCCATTCCACAAGTCGTATCGAGACGTCCTCCTAAACAGCGATACATAGTGAAGCTGCTCTGTCCCAAAAATCACGCACTGATCAATAGTACCTGTACGCTTTGCTGTTGGGAGGTTCTGCGGTTGCTACAAATTAGAACGACTTATAACATTTGAAAAATTCCGGTCAGAAATCGCTTATGCGGACTTTTTATCCAGTGGTTTTGAAAATTTTATATGCGGCATGGTGTCTTTAAGTCTACGATTTCATGTTATTGATTAGTGCTGAATTTTGGAGACATATGTTTTTGCGCTTTTGTAAGCTGAACTGGCTCAATTACCTGGAAATCCATTCCTTTTACGCAGACCGCAACTGCTTCCTTCTCGCCTGTGGACTTAGTGACACGCACGCGCAGCGCGGCCCGTTGCGCACTGCATGGCTGGCTGCTAATCGATACGAAAAGTTTCGCGGATGAGTCGAATCTCCGTGGTATGGGGCATGTTATCAGATTCGGGATGTAGAAATGATCCCTGAAAGAAGATAAGTGAGCATAGACGACGAGAGTTTTGAGCAGACTTACTCCTGCGTCTCTGAACGATCAATACTTCGTAAACTTCCACCTTGATCCCATCCACGTTGCCAAATTTCACATAACGTACCCTCAAAACAGCATAAGCCTCTCGTCGACCAATATTGCAATAGACTTTATGGCGTAAAGTGCGAAAGGATACGGTAAGCACCTGAATTTCAAGATTTCTTCTCAGGAACCACTGCCCACCGTAATCCCGTTTCGGAAAATCCTAACCTGGATGGCATTATTATGAGGATAGAGGGAATTCCTTCTAGTGTCCAGATAGGCTGAATACAGGAAAAGGCCATCGTTTTCTGTCCATTCGTCGGTGCTTATCGATTGATATCGATCCATACGGCACCACCAATAGTACTCAATCACGGGCTGTTCCTGTAAAAGGCGTCTTAGTAATGTGACCGATGGAATTGCTCCCTGTCCCATATATCGCGCATGGTGGAAGCACACTGCCTGGACATCTAGGGACGTTGAAAGATTTGAAATAAAGGCAGGGAAATAGGCAACAAAAAAGGTCATAGTGGATCGATTATTGATTGGTGCGGGATATATGAGACAGCCCGCAAAATTTTCACCTTTTCCACAACGTCACGAATTTCGGCCGTTGCCTGCGTTGCATTATTCGTACATGTATTTCAATCAGTCTCGCAATGCATAGTTCCACATCCTCCCGGGCGCGCCGACCCCGGCGCCGCACCGGCGGGCGGCGCGCGGCGCGGCGGGCGGCCGCCCGCCCTGCCCGCGCGCGCGCGCGGGCGCGGCCGGCGCCCGCGGGGCGCGGGCCGCCCGCCGCGCGCGGAGGCTGACCGCCCGGGGCCGCCGCATCGCCCTTGCGATTAAAAAAAAAAAAAAAAAAAAGAAAGTCACTTTTGGTGTGTTTGCGGCTTGAAATTATTTATTAGTTTTCAATCGAGAAATGGGGACATGCAACAACAGCTGATTACCCACACATTTCGTTTGTTATCCTCTAATTCGATCATTTTCCGCTTTCGATAATCTATGGCTATGATGAAGAAGATCATGCTGATGCACATGGCCGCTAGTTTCCGTCTCGAGTGCCATATCCCGTGAGCGCGCGCCATTTCCGACCCACGCTCGGGCGACTGGGGAAACCCGTAACCTGAATTTATTTTTAAAGGATGCGTATGTGCAGATTAATTTCCAGTAAATGGATCGCATGGAGTATATAACGAGGCACACGTCTTGCGTTCAGCCCGTTCGGCAGTAAGATTACTCCACCCCTAGGCGCCTGATGCTTCCCATTTGAATCAGGCAGGATTCCCGACTGACATTACAGTCCAATTTGAGTGCAGTCAATATTCATCGAAAATTAGTGACTTTGCGAATTTTCAATTCCTCAGTTTGATGAAGCAACGAATCCCTAGGCGGACCTGGTTGGACCTTTCTGGGCAGGCAAAGCGTGGCGGCTAACGGTTTTATCATAACTAGCAGGGCTAAATTTCGTGCTATACAACCGCCTAATATCACCTTTTAAATATGGATATCCTTCACGCTTTTCCCTGAAAAATCAAATGCAAACCCTTCAGGGTGTTGAATTCAATACCGCACGCTTACTTTCACTTCGACCACTCAAAAGCACATGCACTTCTTAATGTGTTTAAAGATAAAAGCATTTGCAGTTGCCCTTTTGGGATGCGGCACGCATTCTACTTCCATTTGTACATTCGCAGTGGCGTTTGAATGCGATGTGGCCTATACAATGACTTGCGGGGGCCAGCCGATGTACAAGTCAGTGTTTTTATCCTCCAGACAAGTCTGGTACCAATTAACCGACCCCGGAGGGATGGAAGGCTTGGTTGGCCCGGGCGACTCACGACCCAGGATTTGATCCCCGGACCGCTCGCGTGGTGAGCGCGCCACTTGTCACTACACCACTTCCGCCCTAATGTGTTTTAGTGTAAAAATTATAAAAATTAACTACAAAAATTAAACGTAAAAACCTAAAATAGAAATGGCGCTAGTCGCAAGATAGGGGCATCGTGGTGACGATGCATTAAAAACTGCGTTGAAAGTCTCCTTCTGTTAATCGGGCCTCAGGGCAGGAGGGACCCCGGCATGCATGAGAGATTTTCATTCTTTTTCCCTTTCATTCATTTTCGCTGCCCCTCCTAGGCTTGTTCCTAGAATATGCCCCCGTATCTTGCGATAGCGCCATAAGAAGTGATGGAGAAAAAGAAAAAAATCAAAGAACGTTCTAAAGGCTGATAGGTAGAATGAGGTGCGAAAAAAACTTATAGAATGTATTGAACATACAGGGATTTAGATCGCTAAAAATGAGAATAAAAGATGGAGCATTCGCCAGCATTTTTTCGGTAATGCGACGTTTCTAACTTTTGAACGGACCCGGACCGCTTCGGCGTGTAAAAAGCGCGCCACTTGCTATAAGCCCACTTTCGCCCATCTTAAGTCGGTCAGAATATTAAAACAACCAAATAGATTATTTTCACTGGCTCTAGTCATTCACATAGTTTCAATTAGAAATTGTTTGATAAACTAGTTTCAAAATCTGAAACGGGTTCACGGTGTTCCCAAATCTCTCTGGGTGCGCCATAGGCACTACACTTCTAGTCAGGAATCAATAAAAATCAGATTGCGATTTGGCTTCTTCGTTAGCTTGCGAGTCAGCCGGTGTACCACTTTGTGTTTTTATCCCTTCCACAATGTACATGATACATATTTACCGATCTCAAAAGGATGGAAAGCGTAGTCAACTTGGGCAGCGTAAAATACAGGGTCTGATCCCGGGACCGTGTGCGTGATAGGTCGCACCTTTTGCCCGTACACCATCCCGACTTTAGTAAGAAATATGATGACGGAATGTTGATTAATGGGTATAAAAATGTACGTGTGAAATGCAATCATGAAGTGGGTTTGAGTAAAAGTAATAGATTTACCATTGGTTGGAACACAGACAAGAGAACAAATAAGGCCAAAATTATGCAAAGATCACCGTGAAGAAGAACTTTCTCATTGATTTATCGATTAATTGATCGATGTGAATCAATTCACGAATCAATATCAGATCTGTGCTTATAACATTCGTACAGTACAGTGCTATGGCGGTAACGAAAAGGAACTGGTTACTAGCGACCCTATCGATCGGGTGATCTTGTGGGGGTTCGTTGGGCGGCGACGTTCCTGACCGTGAACGACCTTGTAAGCAGCCGACGAGGCGGCGATGAGTAGCCTCTTCCGTGGAGGTCGACGGTCGAATAATTGGCCTTACCTCTAGAATTGACAAATCGGGACAAACTTTGCAATTTTGTGATGAAAAAAGGTCGAAAAACTGTGGCGAGTTGCGGGGAAATGGGTTCAATCCAAGGCCGGTGTAGGTTAGCGGCAATCGGCGCCACTACCACCCATTTGATTCGAGGATCATATTCCGGATCAAGTCCTGCACGGGTAAGCATGGGTGTTTATTCTACGAAGTTGGTAAGTTGCTAGGTGCCTATCGGGTAGGGTAAAAATAATCAGTTCATCGCTGGTCCCTCATGATTGTGGGCAAATGGACTATCAAATGCCACGAACATTTTGAATGTGAGCAGAGTGCGTGGCGTATCCCAAAAAGGACTCAATCACTTCGGCTATTCGACTCTCTAACCTTAGTGTTTGATTCCAGCTATGTGGCTAACCACGAATCCAGCCATATGCACGCTACCCCCTCCCCATCACCCTCCGCCCCCGCTTCTCCTCCCTGAAGTTTGGCTGGCTACACACACTCCGACACTGGTAATCTCCATTACCCACGAACCCCTCCTTAGGAACCCGGGCCACACTCTG